GGTCTATCCGGTATCATGAAAGTTTCTAGACAAGCCATTTGCTGCTTGCCAATTCATGGCGAGTTTTCATACGACGTCCAGCCGACGTATTCTACAAATTAAACAATATGCTGTGGCTAACTATAGGGTATTTTTCATTCCCTGAGTGACACTATCAAACGAAGCGTTTTGCCGCCTATATTGACGCTTCTCACGACCAGGAGGTTACTGAGTCTTCATCTGTGCTGTTTCGAACCAACCTGAATAGCTGTTTTTGCTATTACACCGCAGTGAGTGTGCTATACGCGCACGCACTACTTAGTTTAAGAAAAGCATACCCACCTGCCGAAGAGGGGACAGGCTGCCTCCCTCAAAAAACTAACTTCCTCCTTACTCTGTCACATAAGTAACTTGAAGTAGCTGCCGTTCACTTGGGGCCGTTGAGGTTCAATCTTTTTCATGCTTGAAGTTAGAGTAAACTGTAGTTATCGTCTCGAAACGTGCAAAAGCCATCAGATAGCAAGACAAAAGAGTACTCCGCTCTTGTGCTCATCGCTCAGTTGGTCCTATTTGATGCGATGCTGACTCGGCAGCTCGTGTCTGAGTTGTTCACGCCGCGATTTCGTCAGCCATTTTGGATTTTAGCGACAATTTGGTCCACTGTCACTGAAATTGTCAGTCGCCTGTGTCCTCCCCAAGTGACTGATTCCCCTGTTCAGACAAAGTCTCAGTACAGGATGTGATAGTGACAGCTCATTGCGCTTGTTGATGGGCTTCGGGCCTGAGAATCATGATTCGAGCAGCTCGTGGTTCACGTAATTGTCACCTCTTATGAGGACTTCGGTCTCGTTAATACTGCGCACCTTGTGTCTCAATCACCCTTTTCTGCGATTGTCTCTGATGATGGCTTCGGGCGAGAATCCGGAAACGCCAAGCAAATAAACGTATTGTTCTAGCACTCGCATCTTCTCCTTCTGGTCGACTTGTATTTACGAACAGCACTTGTAACTTTCTGCTTGGCAATTACTTATCTTTTCTCTAGTTTCGCTGTTGCGTGAACAACTCCCCCCCCGCAACCAAATTAGGCGTTTCATTGTAGTCACAATCATTCCCGTACTCCGGGACTTCTTAAATTAACCGTCAAAACTGACTGATTCGGCGGAAATTAGGAAAAATGCTCTCACTATCGCAGTGCCCTGCCACATGGTGCTTTTGTCTCATCTTGATTACCTCTCATCGTGGAGGCGAGCAAATTGGTGGGCTTGAGCCCTTACTAGCTGATACCGACATATTAGGCAATGTAGTTGAAGTGAAACCGACAAGGACAAGGGGGGCCGAAATGGCCAGTTCTGGCTTATTTGCCGTTATCAGCAAGTTATACCCAATCGCAGGTGTGGATCTCTCGACATTCGAACCGGAAACTTTTGTCATGGAACGATTTGTAGTGACAGGCTGATTATGGCTAATAGACCAGAAC